AGAAGAGCCAACAAACAAATGACAACCATCCCCGCTGCCCCCAAGCACCCTGTGAACTAAAAAGCCAGGAACAAATCAGATCACCCTGTCGCTGGTTCCTATAATAAACACAACTTGTTCTCATGCTGCATTACAAATACCAAGCCTCACTATTGCACGACAGAGGTACGTTCATTATTATTTCATGCCCGTTTCACAGACAGGGAAAGCAAAGACCAACAAGAACATTTTCAGAAGCACTGGCTTTTAACTTGCTGTCACTCTGGGGATGCCCAGCTGAAGGCACTGAACCACAAATACTCCAAAACGAACACATGTAAAGAAATAGAGCAAAACCAAACCCAAATTAGCCAGTTTCTGGATTGTAGGTCAGAACCACATTACTGGCCAAAACCACGGGTTGCCTTAGCTCTCCCTTCTCACAGTAAGCAGGTTATTAGGAAAGCTTCTATCAGGAGACTTCAGAAGGCACGCACACAAGGAGCCAGGTAACTTTTGGAAAAGGCAGGAACATCACTTCTGTGTAACTGTACAAGACTTCATCTCGTGCTTATCAGCATTTCTATCAGCACAGCGCTGCTTAGCCACCTCCATCTGAAAGGCACTTTGAGATGCAAGGTGCAATATGCATGTAAATTATCATTAAAGCATCCTCTGTTTCACCAGGGCATTTTCAGATTGGGGCTGCTGTTTTAATGGGTTGCCTCCCAGGAAACTGACTTCACCTGTAATGACATGGTGAATGCTAATGACCAGTGTTTAATTGGGGCAGTGTTAGTAAAATTTTGCTTCAGAGGGATTCAATTTAGCTGGTGCCAAGGAGTTAAGTGATTAATCAGGTGTTAAATAGTACGTACTTCTCCCATTCAAACTTACACCCACTGAACTTAATGAGAGTTTTGGCATTGACACTAACAGAAGAAGGATCCTCCTCCTAGTACATAAATTCCCTAATAAACACTAAGGAACATGCTCTGTACTAGCAGATACTCGGCCTTGGTTAAGGGTAACAGAATTCTGACCATGTGATGCTGAACAGTCCCTCAGCAAGGAAAGCGTTTGGTGGGAGAGCGCTCTTTGCAAAAACTGCATCAATGAAGTATTAGGAGACATAAAGCACTACTTAAAAATTAACTTAATCTGGGGAAGCCAGTTAAGATTGAAAGCTCAAATACTCCACTGATTCTTTGCCCTTTGGCTTACACCATCACTCTTTTTCCCCCTTCTTCCTTTTTTAAATGATTACAAAGTACATCCTTGAATCCAAAATAAGCACCAGTGAGGCAAGACCTCGAGCTACAGAATTCTGTGCTGACTCCTGCAGGGCCCATGCGATCGCAAGGACCACCACATACAGCTTACTGCAAGAGAAAGCTCTCCCATCCACCAGCATACAGCTGCATTAAAATCTCCACCGGAGTCAGTTGTGAAACCCAATTCACAGGAAGGCTCTGTGCCTTCAGTGCTGCCCACCAAAAGTACTCTCAGCTCAAGCATCAGCCAGGCACACACAGGGGAGCCTAGGCTAGGATCAGCCCTGGACTGGGAGATTTTAAGCAGCTGGTCCCCCCCATATTCCCAGTTTCAGTTCCCCCACAACTCTATACTTTTGCCAGCACAACTGTTTGTGGTAGCGTGGCAAATAGAATTGAGCAACTGAAATTGCCAGATTTATAAAAAGGAAAATAAATCACACTGCACCCTTTGGTACCCTTCTATTTGCCTGATGAATTTTGAGCCTCCATGTGACACCATGGTGATATTCTTGAGCTATTAAGAATTCAAGGGAAAAACAGGGAGATCCTCATAATCAGAAAGTTCCAAGTGAAGGTTTTAAACAGAACTCATTACCACATGGACCTTAGTTAATCACAAAAATCATCACCTTTGTCTAAGCTCCTTGCCCTGTCTCCCTTTGAGCTTTTGCCCTCCTGTAAGTTTTTGCCAAGATGTTTACACTCTCCCTGTGCCTCAGTTCTCCCACCTGGGGGAGGAGAGGTGAGGCTGTAAGGATCACTTGCCAATACTATAACAAGTGCCAATGTCATGTCAGTATATACAATACTATAATCAGCTAACTACTATGGCTCAGGATCAGACGAACAGGTTTACTACCAACATAGACATCCCAGCACCTGGGATGAAAAAGGCTGTCCAAATACGACGACCACACCACATGTCCCTTCCCAACCCATCTCGGAGCCAAAGCCCTCAGGTGCTTTCAGACTGGAGTATGCCACAAGCCCGAAGGCTGTTGGTTCACGCAGGGAGTACGCTGACACCCTAAGCTGTAACAAACACTGAGGGCCCAACCTTCACACTCACCTCTGACACCCAAGATCTGTCTCTAACTCCAGCAATGACTTCTCTGCAGCTTTAGACTTTCTGCAGACGCTTAACTTCTTTGCCACAACAGCACGGTTGGAGTTACTGGGTCTGCTTGCCATCAGTCAGGCAAGCACACACCCAAGCGTTGGCAAGATCAGGGTATTTAGCATTGGGTTTCTCCTCTCTCGGAGGAAGAGAATGTAAGCAAGCACACATACTTGCCGCAAAGCGAGCACATATCAATATACAATCACACATACATACTGATAAGTACCTGACACAAACCGAGATATTACTGCAAGTTCATGTTGATTACCAGTAGTTAAATATATACCAAAAACTTCACCTCCTTTGAGCTTTCCTACATCTTATTGAAGCACTTCTCTAGTAAGGTGAGATGGCGAGACCGTGCACTGAGCAGCTTGAGCATAAACAAAGCAGCAGCCTTCACTCCCTCTGCTGAAGCTGTCTGTGGTTCATCACCTCAGTTGCTGTGGCGTTTACTGCACGCAACCTTGATCCATATTGCAGGAGGAAGGGAAACAAACAAATATATAGAAAATGCATCCTCTAGCACCACTGCTTCCAGTTCACAGGCTCCTAATGAAGCTCCGCAGCACCCTCACAGCACAACACTTGGCTACTTTTCAGAACAACACAGCAGCTTAGCACCAAAGTTGGAGTATGGTGAGGAGCTTGCTCCTCTGCCCTGACCTCATGCTCTGCAAGTCGGGCTGACACGCTACAGAAATCATCACTCGTACCTGTATAATCACACTACCATTTACACAACACCTCTTAAATCCAGCTGCTGATTGCAGCCACCTCTAACTCCTCCTGGATGAAACAAGCATCCAGAAAGCAATGGTTGTTAGAAAAACCGAAGAGAAAATTACCCTGAATGGTTTGACTGGTGAAGAAATGTTATCATTGGAAATTCACACTTTGGTCTGAAAATATGTACTTTCTATGTTTGAAACTAATAAAACAATTCCCCAAAAAGCTGGTAGCAGAAGTTTCTGTTCTCTGACAAAGATTAACTGCACAAGTCAGCATGTAAACAAACTACACACTGCAAAATGAAAATAAGTTCAGACCATGATCTTTAGAATCAGTCGCTTCAAAAACACATCAGATTCCCAGTATCTGCCTAAACATAATAAAAATTTGGCATTTAATCACTTCAAGACTCAAACAGAAGTTTGTTTGTATCTCCTCCTGCTATGGAGCAAATACATTACAGATGATTCTGTAACATACCTTAGTGAGGCTAGCTAAGGACCAGCTTCACTGTTCCCAAAATCAACAGCAGTGCTATCACCCACTTCAGTAAGAGCAGAAGTAAACCTCGTATTCTCAAAACAACACACATCGAAAACAAGGAAACACAACTCATATGACACTACTTTTTCATGGCATGCATTTGCATTCTTCTGTCCAGAGAACACATCCTACCTTTCCACAGGATTTACTAATAAAAACAGCAGTTATATTTCATTTTACATACGTATACACATATATATAGGGTTCTGCTTAGTTAATTGTACACGTTTTGCCTGCACTAGCATTTTACCACCCTGCAATGCGCATACAATACCCCATTATCCAATTTGTTCATCTGCGTTATGAAAAGTCCAACTAGACTCTCTGAGCCACGAGACTTCATGGGACACGGGCCTGATCCCATTTAACTCAGCGAGAGAAAATACACCCCCAACTTTTCAAACTGAGGTCACAGCATACAGAACATAAGACTCCCATCATAAACGTACACAAATTGGGACAAGCAAACAAAAAAGCATCATGGTGAGTAAATACGTGTTCATTCTAGGCTCTCTCCCTTAGAGCCTGGAAGTCACCTTTTCCTGCCAGTCAGGGAGAGGCAACTGTTAAAGCTCTCTTAACTCAGGCAGCTAGTCGTGAGCAGGAGGAAGATTCCTGGCTGGCAGCAAAGCAAAGCAACTCCTCCAGAAATCACACGACTGGAATGAGACCGAGGGGTGAGGGAAGGAGAGGAGAGCACTATTTCTAGCAGATAGGAAGGGTCTGGACAAGAAAGGAAACTCAATTTTGTTTCCATTGTCTCAGCTTTACACCGCTTCCACTTAAAACCAGAAACTTCACGGGGCAATCCCTCCTTCAACAGGCCAAGCCACGGAGAAACAGATCCCCCAGGCCCTGGCAGCATGGGGCCAGGCTGTGCAGCCCCGGCTCCTCTACCTGCTGACGGGCAAAAGATGCTAGTAAATGCAGTGAGTAAGAGGAAAGGGAAAGGGAAGGAAACCCCCACATCCCCATGCTGGTGGAAGCATCAGCGGCTGCATGTCCCCTACGGCAGGAAACTTTCTGCGAAGTTGCCGTCGGGGGCCGTCGGGCCACCAGCCCCGCGGGAGAGGAGAGGAGGACGGGAAGGGCGCCCCGGCTCCGTTTCAACCTCCCGTCCCGCCGCCAGCTCCTGCCGTGAGGAACCACGCCACGAAATCTCGGCCGCTGAGGCTGTGCCCTGCGTGTCCCCGACGGGGGCTTGGGGAAGGGGAGGTGCACCACGGTGACAACCGACGGGAGCCGCGTCCCTGTGTGTTCCCCGCCCGCCTCCACCGAGAGCTCCGCGATGCCTCGGCCGGGGGGTCCCCGCTGACAGGGGCCGGACGGACACAGGGATGGAGCTTTACCTTGATGCAACACTGAGCAGGAGCCTCAGACATCTCTCAGCAGGGAAGCGGCGAAGCCCGGCGGGGCGGGCGGACGGACGGACGGGAAGTTCTCGGGCTTTCCCCACTTTCCGCTCCCCTCCCGGCCCGTCCCCTCAAGGGGAAGTTTCCGCCGCCACCATGGCGCGGCCCGCGGAGCTGCCCGGGGGAGAGGCGGAGTCCCCCCCCCTGCCGCCTGGGGTCCCCTCCTCAGCGGTGCCGGTGCCGCCGCCAGCCGCCTCCTCCGAGTGAGCGCGATCGCTCCCTCCCCGCTGAGCGCGACTGTGCGTGTGTGTGTGTGTGTGTGTGTGTGTGTGTGTGTGTGCGTGACCGCGCGCGCTCTGCCCGCGTGCGGCGCGGGGGGAAATGGAAGTGGGAAAAGGGGGGGGGGGGAAGGGGGAAGAAGGGGCGGCGCTGCCGTCACGGCCCCGCTCCCCTCCCGGTGTTTTCCTTCCTGGAAGAGAGAAACCGAAAGGCGGCGGGGGAAGGGCCGGGCGCTGCGCCCCGCCCCACCGCTGCTCATTGATCCGGAGTTTCGGGGCCGAAACTGACGTGGGTTCCCGGCACCCCGCGCCGCCCCTTAAAGGGCTCGCGTCGCCCCGAACAGCCACCACCGGCGGGGAGGGGCGAAGGGGAGGGCGGTGGTGCCGGTTTCCCCGTCGCCGTGGGCGCCCTCGGGTGCCCGTGCGGGGTGGGCAAAGCAGAGGGAAAGATGGAAGGGCGCAGCCGCGTCGCGTCGGCTCAATTCGGTGTCGTTTGACGCCGCGGGCCCTTTAAATGCCGCGCGCCGGTCCTGGCGTTCAGCGGCGGAGATGGGCAGCGGGATGAGCGAACGTGGCTGGCGGGGAGGGGAGGGGAGGGATGGGATGGCAGCGGGCGGAGCGGCTGGCCCGCGGGCAGCACAATGGCCTTTGTTCCATTTGTTCCACCGCCGGAGCGGCCCCTTTAAGAGCCCCGACCAGGAAATGAGGCTCGGGTTACGGCGGGGCACGGGAAGTCCGGGGCGGAAGCACTGCCGGTCGCTGTGGTCCTGTAGTCCCACTCGTGGGCCGCTGCCCCACAGATCCCCCCTCCCCGTCGGTGAGCTCCTACCCGGCGGAAGACGGCCGACCCCTCGGAGAAACGTTCTGGAGCCTGGGGCTTTGCCCATGTTTAGAGCCCGGGCCGGATGGCACCAGCACCGAGGTTCAGGTCGGGGTTGTGTCACCCGTACCTTATGGGGTACATGGTATAACGTGTGTTTTCAGATGCAGTGGAACAGGGCTGTTCTTCTGCACTCTGTGGCTCCTGCGGGTGCAGGAGTGGGTACAGCCCGAGCCCTCTTGACAGGAGTGGGAAGAGGGGTTGGGAAGGAAAAATAACTTGCCCCTCTCTTCATCTAAATCTCTCTTTGTGAGGTTTAGAGAGAGTTTTTGGCGTCCTGGCTGGTTTTTGGATGCACCCACTTCATTGCAAGTTGGGAACGTGCGTGGGAGCACAACAGCCCTGCTTGTAGCCGTGTCACTGAAAGGCAGAGCAACCTCTGGAGTGTGCTGGAAGGATGCTGTGCCTTGGAATACAACAGGCTCCTATTCAGTGATTCAGTGCTACTGAAAATAGCAGATGAGAGGCAATCCTACTATGGTGTTTTAAAGCAAGCCTCAGCACATATGTGGCATTTGCTTAGCTGTGGCACGCTTGCATCAAATGCAGAGCTGCTTCATCTGCGTGGCCCGAAGGCCGGGCTGCTGGGGTCTCATGGTAGTCCCCTCTTGGTGGGCTACTGCAGGCCATTTTCCAGACAGGGCTGACTCCTCACAGCCTGTTACAGCTTCACAGTGGCTAGTCCCTGACATGAATCGAGGAAGATGGAGGGAAGGTACTATTACCTCTCAGCCTAGCAACCAGTGACCCTTTTTTAACACAGGGCCAACTCAATAATAAAGGATTCATATTTACCTGTCTTCCCTCTGCATGGCTGAACTTCTGGAATAGAGTCGCTGCATCTCTATCACTTCTACAATGCCGCTCTCCCCTATTATTCTCTCTGCTTCATCACTATGATGTTTTCCTTTTCTACCTGCACGATTACCACTGCGTTTCTGAAGTGCTGAGTCATTATTCTGTATCTCATGGCAAGTTGGGGTCTTTTGTGATTCTTTATATTAAATGCAGAAATCAGAGATGGAAAAGACCTGCTAGGTCATCTGCTTCACTCCCCTGCAGGTAAAGGATTTGCAGCACGTGCTAGATTGCTCTGTCTGCTTTAGTTTTAAATGCCTCAGGTAATGGGGCATTTCTTTTCAAGACTCTTCCTTTTCAAGACTATTTCACACTCCAGCAAGTCCCATGGTCAGGAAGATGTTTGTCCTATATTTTCATTTGTCCGGTTTCACCCTATTACGCCTGGTTATAACCAGGAGTATTGTACTGCCCTAAACAAATTTTCCTCTCTCTGGCTCTTTATACGTTGCACCCAGGTATCACTTTTTTCCCCTAGCTGTTGCCATTCCTTCTTTTTATCTCCTTTGATTCATCAGTCCCTGTGGCCACTTTATTATTGTCATTGGTCTTCTCTAATTCCCATTCAATTGGTCATCTCAGCCCACAGATGACCACACTTAGGGACAAGTATCTGCCTGATCCTTTGTGAATGCAGCCAAAACCCCATCATGGTTTAGTTTGTGTCCCCAGCCTGCCTCAGAAGCTTATACAAAACTTGCCACCTGCCATTGTCCTGAATGAGAGCTGGTCCTGTTACTCCTCAGTGTTCTCTCTTGCAGTACAACTGCAATCTCTTTTTCTCCATGGAAACTGGTGAAGCTACACGTCCCGAGTGGTTATTTGTCTGCCTGGAGTTTCAACATCTGTTCCTTCCGGGTCACTGATAGCTGCTGTTCCTCACACTTTGATTAATGGCCCTTACAAACATGGGCCTTGATCCATCTCTCGACCAGTGTGAATGGTTGCAAGTACCTGTCCAAGTTCACAGCCTGGTTTAGAGCTGTTCTCTTCCAGCTCTTCCTCTCTTTTTTCCACTACTCCACTAAATGTGAGGGCAATGGATGGTAACTAGAAAAGGTAGGGAGATAAACAGTGAATGCGTAGGGAAGGACACAGTCATGAGTGCAGTACCTTTCCAGCCAGAAGTCAATCCCGTTGAAGTTGCTGTAAGAAAACATGACTGGACAAAACATACCACACGACCTTGCCAACAGAAGCAGATATGCCTCAACCATGCTAACCAGGTGCTAGCCACAGTGACTGGAGAACATCTTTGAACCCTTTGAACAAGGAGGGCCAAAGTCCTTGTAATGTGTTAGCTTGGTTCTGCCCTTGTTTCTCTGACCTGGTTTCTCACGGTTCCTCTCATTAGTTCTGTCTCTTGAGATATCATGGTCCTGGCTTCTGCACCTTACAGGAGAAGAAAACTGCTACCAAATCTCCTGGTGAGCAGGATGGTCTGTGGCTGCAGGACAGTTGCTATGGAAATTTGAGGAGAAAGCTTCTCCAGCTTCTCCCTTTAAATCCACACTGCATGGAGATTGCACAGAACGGAAAGGAAGACCATTAGCTTGTATTAAACCTTGAACGAAAAGGAAGACCATTAGCTTGTATTAAACCTTGAGCAGGCTCTCAGTTAACTTCCTTCCCTCTCACCTAGAGGCTACTGCTTAGTTTATCTCTAGGGAGGAGCTTTTAGTTAAAACAGGATTTACAATCCCACAGAGACACCTGTCATCAACAGCCTAGTCAGTAATCCCCTAACTTTCTGCTCAGATAGATGGTGGCAATGCTAATTCAGGCAAAAGGTAATGGTACTCTGGCCTGTGAAGTGAGGCCAAGTCCCTGCCTTGCTTAGGGCTCTCCCAGGAAAGGAAGATGGGTGGCATGGTCGGGGACAGCAGCAGGATGAGAAAAAACACAGACAAAAGTGTGTTCTTCCTCCTTATAGAGGCCTGAAAATCTGGTTTTGGATGCTTATGTTTTCTGGTCTAGAATTTGTCCCTAGAGCAAGCCCTGAAGAAAAGGAGGCAAACCAACTTTTCCTCTGGACTTTTTCATTTCCTGTCCACAGTGGTGCATCTGCATACTGCCTTCCACTGATTCTGTGTTACCTGGGCTGCTTTTACAGCCATGAGACTCCTAATGTTTTCCTAGATGCACTTTCTCAACAGCTAGTTTAGCTTTTTTCCTGTGCCCTGAAGGATGTTGGAGCCTTCTTCCCAAAGGAGTTAGACACTTGGGAACCTACATCCAGCCAAAAGCCAAAGTTTTAATTTCTTCTTCTGTGTACTGGTTTTCTAGTTTCAGCAGTGTAGAGCAGTACCTCAGACATTTGCAATAATTGTTGACTTCACCTTGCTTTTATTAAGGAGACTTTGATCATGGTAGTGGTTTTTTTCCACTTTGTATTTGCGAAAGCACTCATTAGTTCCCAATGCTCAGATATCATTAACTCGTCCTGTTTCTCTCCTGTTATCTTTTCATTCCCTTTATCTTTCCCCAGCACAGCTTGTCTCTCTTCTTTAGTGCTTGATTCTTTGCTTAGTTTGTATTAATAGTTTTTATTTTGTCTTCAAGTGTTTGAGCAGATACCTATAGTCCCTTGATGTGACTTGATGGGTTTGCTGACATTACTGAGCTTCAGCAGAGATGCTTTTCCAGCTTGAAGGACAGGATCAAGCTCTTAAAGAACAAAACGCAGTAGGAAACAGTAGTAAATGCCAAGAACATGCAAGGGTACATTGATGTTAGCAGGCAACAGAGGTTTTGTCCTGAGGACACACCAGGAGATCCATGAGCGCTGGTGCACAGAGGTGCAGTGGAAATGAGCCCCATTGCACATTTAGCACTACGATTCTTTTTCCCTTATCAAATTTGTTTCTGAACCCAAATTGCATTTTATGGTCATAGTATATATCAGTCATGCTGCTTCCTATCATTAGCCAGAAGATTAGCCTTCACTTCATATCCTTAGGCAAGTCCTTTTTTCCAAGATTCAGCCAGGTTAATGTTTCCTTAGCTTTTTAGGAATAGGCATGAAATTCAGTCTGAGGTGTTAGACTGAGAAACGCTGTATCCATATTATTTGCATTCTCATTTGTTCACCTACGAGCCTAATCTTTGACATTCAGTTGTCCTCTAAATGCTCAGGGTTGGCTCTAGGAATAGGATTTGCACCAGTATAACAATTTTGGGAAAAGGTTTGGTTTTGTTGGGTTGGTGTTTATTTGTTTAAATCAAAATAGCAATATTAGTGCATACTCTAAAGCTGCAGGCATTTGATATAAAGATACTTACACAATTTACATAGGCACTCACATAGCTTTTCCATTTCAGAAACCCACAATAGTCACAATGGAAATGCCAAAATCTTGGTATGACACCTATTCATACAGCAACAAAGAAAATAACCCTGAACATGCTTGATGCTCTAAGCTATGTCATCCTCACACATCATCATATAGTGTATTATTTTGAATCATCTAGTGTATTGCTTCTGTAAGTAAGAGAAACATTTTTCTGCCACTGTGTGACTGTTCTTTTAGGGGAAAGGGGAACTGTACTGATTTAACTCCTCTTTGTTGTTCAAAGCACTGCAGTGTCTTCTGAGAGACAAGTTTATAGTCTCGTTTGAAAAGCAGACTTCATTGCACAAGTCACTGCTTAGACATGTGTTGGCAGTGCTACTCCTGGTATGTACTTTTAAGTTGCAGCACATGAAAATGAGGCAGTAAGTGGCCCTGACAGAGCTTCTGAGAGCACTAACTCCAATGTCAGCAACCTTGCAATAGCTAAATCAGGTAGGGCTAAATGGTGTGGGACCATAGGCCCCTCTCATACCACGAGGTTGTTACAGTCAAGTCCTTTTCTACCTCTTCTAGTGTTCTGGTTACAATATGGTGCCACAAAGCAAAGTTTCTAGGGCTAGCACCCTGCAAAAGTGCCCCATCCCACATTACTATGCTGTGCAGGTGATACCATACCCTCCTTTGGCCATGCCAGCAGCTGCCTTTAGAACTCTGAAAAGCCACAAGGAATATCTCTGTGTGTGCATCCCTATGTTTAAAGCCAGCTCGATTCCCCTTGCTGTGGTGCAAACAGGTGGAGACTGGCAGGGATGGCTTAAACTGGAATCTTATGGTCCTTCAAAGCAATAGATGTACCTTCTCCCCTCATCTCATCCTTGTAGCCGTCTTGCTCGCTACAAAAGCAATGAGAGGCTTGGCCAGGCGCTGCTTCTTGCCCTGACACTGTAAAATCTTGCCCCGACAGAATGTGGAAGGGCTGCCATGCATGCGAAGGCCAAGGAACAAATAGCAGGGGACCTCTGCTTTTGACTGGAGATGGGCAAGGCCAGGCAGGCTGTTTTGGAGGCTTTTTGAAGGAGGGAGAACATGTCCTGAGCCTGGGAGGACTGAGAGTCACAGAGGGAAGTTTGCTGGGGAAAGAGCAGGGAACTGTGGATGAGCTGGGGTAAGAGCCTTGCATGCACCTGGTGAAACCTCCCCACTTACATTCTGTTACTGGAAAGCATTTTAAATAAAACCCAGAAGTCGAAGCTGGAGGGACAGAGTTCAGATTCTGTGTCAGGTAAGTCCCAATGGATTTACATTCTGCGTGTACAATGACTGGGTTTTACTTCCCCAGATCGCTCTCCTCAGCTGCAGAGGTGAGCCAAACTTTTCTCAACCCCCAGTCCTCTCTATTCGTAATATTTTCACAGGTCCCCCACCTCCTCCCTCCTTTTTCAGCATCATTTTCTCCATGGGGTGACAGGATTACAGCTCCATTCGGAGCTGTGGTGCACACTCTGTCATCCATGTCATTGTAACTCTGTATCTTGCTGGCTGTAAAAGAGTGACACAAATTGTTTTCCTGCCAGATAAACATTGTCTAGTACATTTAATGCCCGTAATCTAATGTGAGGAATAACATTATATGAGCAACAGCAGTCAATCTGCTTACAATGATTACCCGGTATTGCTGGGGGAAAAAAATGGGATGCTGCTGCTCCAACAGTGTGGAAGCTCAGCACCTTTCTGCTCAGCTCTGCATCCGCTGGGGCAGGGGCTTACAGCAGCATGACCATGCAGCTGCCAAGTCAGTGAGCTGATGTGGAAGCTTGGAGCTCAGCTCAAGGCTGAATGAGAGTAGTGCGTGCTCAGCAAATGGCAGAATGAAACCCTTGCAAATGGGAAAAAAACAATGGTGTGAGTACAGCTAGTTGTACAGAATTGTGATTTATCTGCTTTTATTTTCAGTAGTTCCAGTGGCATCATGATGTAGGATTTTATAGCCTATTAAATCATGCCTGACGTTTATGGATATAGTTTAGAATGCATGCATTATGGATAGGAAGTAGCCTTCCCGTGGCTGAGCAGCAGTTTCCACTTGCAGGTCTTACTCCGTCCTCACACCCTCTTACAACTTTAGCTCAGAAACTGCCAAATACACCCCAAAGACAAAGATTTTGGCCAAGAATACAAAAAAATGAATGTTTCTGTTCCCATTGAGGTCATTCTGATTGCTCTGATCTAAAATGGTCTTCATTTCTTTTGTTGTCTTCCATTTCCAAGAGCAGGTCCACATCCAGAAGGGTTAACTGCAGCCTCTTCAGGCACTGCATGTTCTGCAGTCTCCATGAGAGCAAACAGATCACCCTCTCACAGGAAAGAGGTGGTAATCAGCCCAAGTCACTGATGAGCTTTTTGGGGGCGTGTAGGCATAATTAAGACTGGAAATTTGAGCTGACCCCAATGTTAGCTTGGGAGATGAATTGAGAGTAGGCACAGAGGTGGATGGACCTGGGTGCGAAGGCCTGACCTTATTGGGCTTAACGCTGCACGGGTCTCTGGTGGCTACAGAGGGCCTCCAGACCCTTACTCTGGATTTCACCTTGAGGACTGCTCTTGGCAACATAAATCCAGTGAGTTTTGTGTCCTTCTGTGGGGCAGCATGCAGGGGCAATATGTTAATAAAGGGGCGGTTGGGTATGAGTATGGGTGGTGCTGGAGGACCAGACCATGGAGCCCTCATGGGCATGCATGGGAGGACAGAGACGATGGGCTCTGGACGAATTGCTTACTTGCTTTCTGCAACCTGTGGTTCATCACTTGGACAGTGGTCAGATGGCAGCATCACCACTGCTGCCCACCCAATATCTCATCCACCACCCCTTCCCATCCTCACGGGCAGACAGCATCTCACTAGACAGACCTGTCTTTGTGGCCACTGCCTGAGGAAAGCAGAGGTCAAGTCTTTGATTGTACCAGTTGAGACAGGTTGAGAGGGCAGCCGGGAAGGAGGAGGGAGGGTGGCTTGGACAAGTCCTGTCAGCCATAGCAGAGGGAAAGGGAAGAGCGAGCCAGTGGGTGAGGATGGTGGAAAAGGCAGTTAAGAAGAGAGAAGGACGAGGATTTAGGTTCAGGAGAGGGCTCACTAGCAATTTCAGGGGAAGAGAGAGTGATCAGAGGAGTGGCTGGATGGGTGACTTTGACTGGAGGGGAATTCAGCCTCCCTGCCTGTTACCCAGAAGGAACTGCCCGCAGCTAGGGGGTCTCCACTGTGTCAGAGGACTACGGCACAGGGACCTTTGTGACCAGCAGAAGGGGATGTTTTGGCTGCTGGGGAAAACCAGTTTTATATGTCAGGGCCTGAACTAAGCACAGATTGCAGTGGTCATAGCTACCACTGCAAGAGATAAAGACACATTTCACTCTTAGATAGCATCTTACAAGTGGTAATTAAATTTTTACAACACCCATGTGAGGTAAGTGTGCAATTACGGCTCCTATTTTAAAGCCAGGAGAGAAGAGAGGGTGAGCGGCTTTCCAAAGGCCAGGCAGTGACTCAGTGGTGGTGTTGCCATCGCCAACCAGGAGCTCCCGGTTCCCAGCCCGGCCCGCAAACCGCGGCCGTGGCAGCGGCGTGACAGCCTCTCTGCTGAGAGATGAAAGTGAGCTGATTTCTCAAGAGCTTTGATGAGAGAAGGAAGGTTAGAAATAGCCTGCGGCTGTTTCTAGAGAAAGTGTCAGGGCTGAGGGAGAGTTTCAGAGGAGGGCAGCAGGAAAGGGAATGGTAGGGAAGTAACTTGGTACGAGCAGCTACGAAGGGAAGGGAGCTGACAAACCAGAACCCAATGACAGAGGAAAATGGTCAATAAAGAGGATAGATTTTCTTGAGAGGTGTAGGGGAGAGGAGAGGAGGCAGCAAGAGAGGGAAGAACGGTGATAAGGGCATGGGGAAGGAGAAAAAACATCCAGCAAGGGTGCATGATGGTGTTTGAAAGCTGTTGCGTTAGGAGGCAGACAAGTGCCGCCAAGTATGGGGTCTTACAGTGCCTGGGCAATTATAATCATGCTATTGTGTCTCTTGCACAGCAGCTGGAGATCCTGGAGCAGTCTGCAGAACGGGATAAGCATCATTAGCTTTGTTTCACCTACAGGAGAACTGAGGCTCTGAGCAGCAAACCCTCTTGCTTATGGTAATGCAGTAAGGACAGCACATTGTTCTGGTTTAAACTATTAAGATAAATGCAGCTTGAAGTAGGAGTAGGACATACAGGGACATACAGTTGTCAGTGGCATAGGAGAGAAGAAGAGAGGAGATGACTGATGTCAGCAGCCCAACTATTTTTTGTAGCTCTAGAAAACATAGCATCAAATAGACTGACAGGTTGAGGCTATGAGCTTTGGATCCTCTGTGCCTTAAAGTCTAATGACACACCACTGTATGCACACGCACATAAATATCTGTGCACACAATAGCCCTGATGATAGCACTAGTGTGGTCTGTGCTCTTAGGTTATTTCCTCAGTTTCCTTCCTTTCAGCAAAATAAAGGTAAAAATTTGTACCCACAACTACAAAATGGAGACATATCCATGCTCCAGAAGACTTCCACAATGCCAGGTATTCTTAGGTTCCCAAATGCTTTGAGATAGGATGAGATATAGACTAGACTAGGCTAGACTAGAATATTACAGTTGGAAAGGACCTACAGTTGTCTGGAAATGCACATGACCACTATCCTGGAGGGGTTATTTGCAGTCATTATGTGCCACAGTGCAGAAACCATACGTCTGTCAGCCTGTGGCTGCCACACCAGAAGCAGCAGCATCTAAAAATCAGAAGACCAGAAAATGACCGCCAGTGTTACTGGTGGATTTCACTGTTTGAGGTAGCATAGTGTTCTTAGGGCCTAGAAAGTGAGATGCTTTTGTAAATGTTCCTCTTAATTTAAAAAAAAACACCTCTCCTCACCTCTTCTTCTTCCTTTTCCTGACAAGCAATGAAAAACCTGTAGCTATTTTTACCTTAGTTTGAGGAGGGCAGAGAAGCCTCCTGCAGTATAAAGTGAGAGGAGAAGACCAGTGTAACACATCTGCTGAAGGAATAAGGAAAGAGCAGTCTAAAAGATAGCGCCTATTTTTAGTAATACCATTTTAGTGTTAAAGCTTCCACCATTTATTCCAACTTCACCTCTTCTTCCTCAGCTACTCGGGAGCAGCAGAGGCTCCCTCGCCTCACCTCTCCCTCCTCCTGATGCGGAGGGCTGTGGCACTTGAGCTGTGCAGTGCTACCACCCTCTGGCCACCGTCGACACCACAGTCCTCCGTCGGCAGGAGTGTCCTGAACTCAAGCCATCTGCCTCGTACATCTTCTCTGCGGGGTAAATCATGGAATCATAGAATAATATAATGGTTAGGGTTAGAAGAAACGTTAAAGATCATCTAGCTCCACGCCCCCAAACGCTGCCTTTCAGTGTACCCAGTAAAGAGATACAGTGATTTACACCTTCTGATGCAGCTCTGTGTGACGCTTGTTTTGGCCTCTTGGTTTTGTAAAGAGACTTTGTATGGGTGAAGGATGCAAAGGTTATCACTTCCAAATGTGTTGGTCCTCCACTGGTCCAGCACATGTTGCCAGTGGGTTCATCTCCTTGTGACTCCTTGTAAGGATGACCAGCGTCTTAGAATGGTGGCTGATTCCTACTTGAAGATGTCTTTTGTGAGACAAGACATTCCTGGGTCATTTGGGGATCAAAGTGTTAGAATGGCATTTCCCATGGCACCTTGAGCAGGACACTTTATCTTTCAGCATCCCAGCTGCACAGCTGTAAAATGCAGATTGCACACCTTAGCTCTTGCACATGGATGATGCTGTGATGAATTCATGAATGGTTTTGGTTGCATGAGCACAGGGATATAAAAATGCCAAGTTTCATAGCAGTCCACCCATGACTTTCTGTACTGGCATTACCAACATTGAGACTCCTGCAGAGCTGTTCATTAGTAGGGGCACCTTCTGCCCATCAGAACTTGCACTGAGACCTCTAGCTCATTTCCCAAGGAGCAGCAAGAAGTCAGAGAGTGGAAAGGACTGGAAGAGTAAAAAGAATTTGTGACCAAAGCCCAAAGTACTTGGAATGCAAGAACTATTTTGCATGGTTCTGTGTCAACAGACTGAACTGATTTTGATGAAAATAAGCAATAATTTTCATAAAATATGAAAAAAAACTTTTCATATTTTATTCATGAAAATATCCAATGAAAAAAGGCATAGAGAGAAAAACTGTCTCATAAGGAAATAGTGGCTTCAAAATTCAAAGGGCATGTTCCAGCATGATTTTTTTTTTCTATGGCAACCAAACCATGAGTTCTTTTCAACCATTATAGGACAAGAAACTTAGGAGCATAAGTGACAAAGTGCTTTCCTGCAGAACTGTACCAGCTTTATAGCTCTTTGGGAGTGATGGAGGATCACCCTGGCCCTGTCCTGTTTGAAGGAGCAGTGAAAGTGTCTGTTGTTCTTTATCATTTCCTGGTTACACCCTCTCCCTATAGGTGACAGGTTACCATACCCTTTTCTACAGTGCTGTGGGTAAGGCAACAAGGAGGGCTTAGATTCACTGGGACTTAGTTCACTGGGACTTCACTCAAACTCCTCACCTGCTCTCCAAAATCTCTTGAAAGGTGCTGTTAGGTTTGCGATATTAGGCCCTGGTGACCTTGTAAAGAACCTGGTGAAGTAAAATGCCAGAAATGGTCATTTCAGGCAGGATTTAGCTTCCCTGGTAAGTCATTTAAGCCTATGTGTAGATTTTTCTGCTGGTAGAGCAGTTCATCCTGGAAGTGGGTTTTGGGGTTTTTCCCCTTGGTGCAATCACATTACAGTACAATTTTTTGTGTGGACAGTAATGTTCCAATGTAAGCGTCTCAATACTTTATGGTCTGTTTTTTGCCTGATAACAGCTATATTTGCATTAGTATTTTTATACAGGTGTTTGTAATATTAGAAGGCTAAACTACTGTCCCAGCAGTGGGGTAGTTAAAGTCCTACAATTTCCATGTATAGGCAACCCCCAAGTGCCAGCAATGCTACTTCATTTATCAGGTTCAAAGTGGGAGGACTGTTTAGAGTGCCACTGTATCTTGTGATCAGCGTCTCATTTTGTGGCAGTTGAGATGGCCTTGGGAAAAGGAATTGTTCTGTTTTCCACACCAGGAATGGGGGGAAATTAAAGTCACCAATTTAAAGGGTGGCTACAAAGAACTCCCTTTTACACAGAGTCACATGGAAAAGATGAGGAGTAAGGGGTACAAGTTACTCCTGTGGAGATTCTGGTTGGACACAAAAATTTCTCACAGTGAGAACAAATCTCTCTCAGAATAATCTCCCCAAGGAAGTGGTGGATTCCCCAACACTGGACACTTTTAAGGTTTGGCTGGGCAGGTTGCTGGGACATCTAGTCTAGGTCTCATAGTCTGTGATTCTGTGGAATGGGTCTAGTCCAAGCAGCTGACTAAAGAAAGCAATGGAAGTGGAGGCTGGTCTATTACATTCCCCTTCTAGGCCTGGGAATGTCTCCAAAAGCAGCCAGTTTTCATGTGGTCACATTCAGACACCACAGTTGCAGGTGGTGTGGCACTCCAAATGTTCCTCAGGAGGAATATAAAAACATAGGAACGACCATACTGGCTCAGACCAAGGATCCATCTAGTGCAGGATCTTATTTCCATGAGGGTTCATGAGCAGGCATGGAGGGAAAAGTAGTAACAAGTGAAGCAGATGCGATTCACCCATTATTTCCCAGGCTTTCATTGTTTTTAGCTCAGAGCATCCTTTGAATCTCATGCCATTTGTCAGTAACCCTCAATAGACTTTTCTTCCAAGTATCTGGCTAACTGCTTCTTGAGCTCCTGTAAAGCTTTTGTATGCACTACATACTTTTGCATGGAGTGCCACAGGTTTACCAACAGCTGCATGATCGCCATTTGTTTGTTCCCAGCCTGGCCCCTAGAAGCATCATCTGATGGCCCCTGGCTCTTGTAACAGTAAAGGTAATGAAGAGTAGCGTTATTAACTTTGTCAATGTCATTCATGGTTAGTGTACTCCTCTGTTAAACCCCTCTGTCCTCTCCAGGGACACCAGGGGTACTTCAGTAACCCAGTGTGCTAGGAGCAGGTCTCATTACCAAACCTTGCTGAGCTGAAGAGACATAAGCAGAAACACCAGCTCATCATGCATTGTCACTTGCACACTGGGCAGCCACTTGCACTGTGGGAAGCAAACTTATTCAAATGCAATGATACTTTTGTGCACAGTTGCTATTCACTGTACTAAGGCCACTGTACTATATATGTGTTATCTCATATGTAAGAGTGTATATCTGAGAAGGTCCATCATTTCCAACAGGTGGATGTGCATATACTGCAGAACATAATTATTTCTTTAAAATTCATTTTAGAAGAGGGCCCTTGTATAGATGTGTAAATTTTGTATGCTAGGCTGCTGTTAAAAATTGCTGTACACAAATGTGTTTAAAGGAATCTCAGTGCATATCTGAATGCTAACCATGTTGCTCACAAATTTTTCCCCTTTGAAAAAAAGACAAGCCCAGTATCATTCTAACACTTCTCAAAAATAAACTGTTCCTCTTTTCCTCTCATCTACCCTCCTGCCCATACCCAAGAGCTCATTTATTTAAAGAAGAAAAACAGACAAAAGAAACCACATCTTCTGTGCCCACCATTTTGCAATGGAAATGTGCTTCACAAAATTAAAACCAAACAACCTTCAAAACAGCAGCTCTTGACACATCAGAACTTGCCTTTCCCTTTCTCACCTCCACCCACAACAGAGATCCTGGCTGCCTGCCCAGGTGCAGAGGGAGCCATGGCACACTGAGGTATCTTGCATCATGCTTTTCAATGGCCGACACTGGCATGACACAGGCTGTGAAAAGGAACAAATTTCAAAGTTGAATGAACTTCCCACAAAGACTGTACTTTACCTTTGGTTCCTCTCTGGGGACCAACAACCATTGTGTGTCTTCAGGTGATGATATTTGTGGCAAGTAAATCTATTGGCTCTCTATGCCAAGGTTTGACTGCTGCTTAAGCTATTTTCTAACATTAATGACATGATGCCTTTAATAATAAAAACCAAAATAAATCCACAACTTAATGATCCAGTGAAGAAGTTAATCAGTAAAAGATTTCCTTTGCTACAGCTTATTTTCTCAGATGATGTGTGTTCCTTTTGGGAGACAGATACCCTACTGCATTTATTATATTTGATGGAAGTTACAACACCTATTTGTAACCAAGATAAGCGATTGTATTCTCTTGCTCTATGGCTCTAAATTTCTCACTAGCTGAGTGGGCAAAGACATGCATGAGGCTGAATGACCCATCCCTGTGCTTCACAAGTATATATGTCTTCCATCAAAACCTCGCCAAGTACCAGAGGTAAAGAGGGCATGTCCTAGATGTCCCTCTTTGATACACCTTCCCACAGATCGATCTCCCAAGACACAGACTGTCCTTCCTTAAACTTCCTTACAAGCTGGAAAACTTCAGAATATCTTTGCAACAGAAATAACACAATGGTTGGTTTGTTTCTCCAGTAGCTTGTGTAGTTTCTACAATACTTTTGTCTCCAGAGATCCCAAGTCAACAGGCTGCTTCCTATACTGATCGAGCCCCAAATCCTTCTAGCTGCCTATCAGCCAGCATGTCTGACTAATATAGCAGAGAGGAAAGGATGGAGAAAATAGGTAAGTGGATAAGTGTTACAGTTT